GATGCTGCGTGTGCATGCCTGAGAAGAAGCCTATCCTGAAATGAAAGTCAGCTATCTGATATATAAATGATGTCTCAATCTCTAGAGCTTGACTTTCTTCTACTAAAAATTGCTTGGTTCCATAATCTTTACAGATTCCTGTCTTACCCTGTTTTTCATTTATCATGTCATTTATTTTATCTTTCAAAGTGTGCTCCAAATACAAACTTCAAAACCTTTCATGTAATAGGGATAAAGTGTACTAATTGCTTCAGGGAATATAAAAACATATTAAGCAGAGTCCTTGCCTTTAAGTTCTTCCCAGAATATGAACTCCAAGAAGGCATGGACTTTCTCAGTTTCATTCATCACTACATCTCTAGCGACTGAAAACAGTAGTTGACAGACAAAAGATGATCAAAATAATTACCCAAAAAATGAATGAACCAATATACATGAAAATAAACAGCACATTTTGAATAATGAGAGAATATGCCATGTTTGGCCACCTGATGCGAAGAGATGACTCATTTGAAAAGACCCTCATGCTGGGAAAGATTGAAGGCAGGAGGAGAAGGGGATGACAAAGGATGAGATGGTTGGATGGCATCACTGACTCAATGGACATGAGTTTGAGTAAACTCCGGGAGTGGGTGATGGACAGGGGGGCCTGGCGTGCTGCAGTCCATAGGGTCGCAAAGAGTCAGACACGACTGAGTGACTGAACTGAACTGAACAGATGCCATGTTTTCTGGGGACAATTCTAAGGCCAATAGAAGTTAAAAGAAGGCAAAGGTTAGGGCAAGCTGATGTAGTTAGCCTGAGAAAGCAGGGGGAAATGGTAATTAAATTGCAATCCCATGGACTGTAGCCCGCCAGGCTCCTCTGCCCATGGAATTCTCCAGGCAAGAATACTGGAGTGGATAGCCAGCCATTCCCTTCTCCAGGGGATCTTCCCGACCCAGGGATAGAACTCGGGTCTCCTGCACTGCAGGCGGATTCTTTACCAACTGAGTCACCAGGGAAGCCCAGAAGAAAGGATTTAGGCGGATAAGGAAAAGGGGAACAAGACTGGCAAAGACTAGCGATGGGAAAAACCAAATGTGCTAGAGGAGAGTGAGGAGGCTTGGGTGACCGGAGGAGAGGATGTATGTCGGGGAACAGTGAAAGCTACATTGAATGAAGAGAGTGAGGAAAGTGACAGAAGACTGCAGAAGGCCTGGAAAAGGCAGCAGTTTCATCGCACTTGGTTGGAATTCATATTCTTAAACCATTTTTCACATCCCCAATTTAATCTCTAAAGCAAAATGAACCTCAAGAAGATATAGGTCTTTAAAAGTAGCAGGGCAATGGAGCCAATGGCCAATCCTGGGAGCCCACATAAAGGTAAAATCTGGGTTATAAAAGTCTTAAATGTTATTATGAATTCCACAGTTTACTAAAATTAATGGTTTATCTAAGAATAATGAAAAAGTCACAGGTCTAAATTCACTACCAATTTTCACACAAAGATAAACTCTCTTCTTAAGTAGAAAGTTACTTTTAATATCACAGCAGGGTATATTTAATCAATTTTTTAAAATATTGTAACTGTTAATTATTATTAACTGGGGAATGACGCCATTCACTAATTCTGGAACACCTAGAAATATGCAGACATCAGAAGTTCTGAATGGTTCTTTATTAGACAGTCACAGTTTTAAAGACAGCTTCAGATAAACCTAACAATTGAGAAGCTGTAAATATCCTTGCTCTTTCACCAAACTCTAGCTATATTTAGTGGCATTACTTTCTTTGCTCAAGAGTTATTCGCTATAACTTTGTATTTATGTTCTCACAGGCAGAATACTTTGGGCATATTAGTTAAATTGATAGATGGCTGCATGGATGGACCAGTGAATGAACCATCAAATGACTATATTCAGATTTTTGAGAGGCAATGGCTATATCCTTCACAAATGTGCATCCTAGATCTTTTAGCCAAACCTAAAGCTTCCAAGCTTTTGCAAACACATCTTTCCAATTGAATGATCATACTTGTGAGCAACAATCACACTCAGATTAAAATGGAACAGAGGGAATAAGAGTTTGGAAGGCAAAAGCATTATTCTAGGCAAGGCTGCTGGTGGCTTTGAGAGCAGGAGTAGATTTACTGTCAAGCTAATGATGCCTAAACATTGAGAACCCCCTCCCTCACACAGGCTCCTCCCAGGCCCATAAGGAGCCCTAGTGATGGGTTCACATGGTCGTTGTTCTATACAATTTGCCAAAATCAGGTTTAATAGAATTCATCCTCCCAAAGAGGACCCTCAATGTAAGTTTCGAGCCCCACCCCACCTTGGTCTGCCCTGTAGGAAGAGGCTGGTCACAGGAGGAATGCTGGTTCCTGGGACAATTGGCAGGGCAGGGGGAACAGGAGCTTGGGATGCCTGTCAAATTTCTGGGTCGCTTTATCGTTCTTTTTTTAAAACACCAGTTCCTAGGTTCACGGTTCTCGTATCACGATTTTCCTTTCTGCTTTTACATCTTCCTTGCAAATGAAGTCACAGGAGACATTCAGCTGTTACAAACTTCATGTCAAGCTTTGAAGTGCTTTTTAATAGCAGAAATATTTGGCTCACGTGTGGGCTTTATAGCTATGGTAAATACCTCTTAGCTATCTGTCGCTACTGTTATTCAACACCTCCAATTTGGAGAAGAAATTCTGCATATGCATTGAGGCACTAAAAAAGAATATTGAACTATATCTTAGCTCTTTTGTGAATGATTTCCTTTTATTTCGTCTCGCATGGAGCTAATGCTTTCATCATATTGTACTGGTTATGGGTGGGAAAACAGTAGATACACAGGGATGCTGATTATTGCATCATTGGTTGGCAGTTTCCTCTCAGCTTCTTGAAGGTTAAGTGGTCAAGTAGCTCCTTAATACAAGATCAAGGCATTTCAAAGACTGACTCATTCACTTGCTTTCTGGCAAAGTGCTTTCGTAGACTTTGGACAAAATGCTTACAGTGGTTTAAAGAGAAGAAACTGACCACAATGAATATGAAATAAAGACAGAAAAAAAATCTCCTCTTCTTGGATGTCCCGGTATGACTACTGACATATAGACTAGATGTCCAGGTACATCTCAGAATGATATATTAGAAATAGTATTTTTGAGAACACCAAACAGAAACAAAGGCATTTTGCATATAACCTGTGTTGAACAATAACATTTTGCTTCTTTATGTAACTTCATTATTTTATGAAGGGATATAGAAAATCCTACTGCACTCCATAAGTTAAACACTTGATGTTTTTATTCCACCAAAATGCAACATTTTTTAATTCTAGATATGTTTATTAATTAGTGATTATTAACACCCAGTAAACAACATTATGTCTTGTAAAAACACAATCTCTCTTCACAGCATGATGCTGAAATCTATTATTCCCTGATTCCATATGCTGAAATACACTCAAATGGTCACAAATGACCTTAAGCATTAAATAAATGTAAATGAGGACAACACAGAAAATGTGCTTTTGATTGATAACTAAAAGACCAGGTTGAAAATCACGTCCAAAAATGAAGTCCTCCACTGAAGGGTATGGCAGTCTGCACTGTGAAATAAAAGCTGTCCTAAGAATGAAGAGCACCCAAGTAATAGAGCACTGTTTTTCTGAACCTACTGGAAACAGAACTGGCTGTTCATTTATTTGAGAAACACAGAGCATAGTGCCCCCATGCCATCAGCCTCCTGTGAACATTCTAATACCACGTTTAAAAAAACAAACGCAGACACGTTACACTCACCAGCTAACAGGAGGAAAAAAAAGTTACTGCTACTCCATATCCTCATCCCATATGTTTTACACTTTAGTTTTTAAGCATCGTTGCTGTTTACCCGGGCTTCCTAATGGCTCAGTGGGAAAGAATCTACCTGCCAGACAGGAGACATGAGTTCAATCCCTGGGTTGGGAAGATCCCCCTGGAGGAGGAAATGGCAACCCTAGTATTAGCACTCTAGTATTGCCTGAGAAATCCCACGGAGAGAGGAGTCTGGTGGGCTCCAGTCCACGGGATTGCAAACGAGTCAGACACAACTTAGCAATTAAATAGAAGCAGCAGCTGTTCACCCACCTTTTCTTTTTCCCCCAGGCTGAGCAGAGTTGGGGGTGGGAAAGCATCCTCAGACAGAGAAAACTCAAAATGTCAAAAAATGACGAATTAATAGTAATTAAAGAATTACTTCAAACTTAGACTGTTCTCCCAATAATGTCTGTGGTTAAACACGTAAAAGAAAAATGCACAGATACAGATATTTCTTGTGAAAACTACTAAATGGATATTCATTACTTGAGGGCAAAATTAAAATGTAGCATCATAGTAGTGTTGCTTTGGTTGAGGGTAAGCATTTCTCCTAGTTTCTATAAGAGGGCAAAACTTCTGTTTAGGGAATGAATACCTAGACCAGTTTGAAGTCATAAAATGGAACAGGGTTTCTCAGTCTTGGTACTATTGACATTTTGAGCCAGAGATTTCTTTGTTGGGGGTGGTGGAATGCCTTGAGCACTGTAGGATGCTTAGCAGCATCTCTGGCCTCCTTCCACTAGATTCTAGTAGCAACTATCTTATCCCAGTTATAGCAGTAAAAAAGTCCCCTGGGGAAAACTGCCTCCCCCCGTCCCCCCACCCCCCAGGTTGAGCATCAGTGAAACAGACCCATTCACAAGGAGGTCCCAGGCTGGGCTTCTCCCAACCTCACAGTGTACTCTCTCAATCCTTAAATCATTCCCAACCCAGTGTTTAACATAGCTATCTTTCACTTTTCTCATCTATTATTTGTAGATAATGAAAATGCCTGCCTGCTTCATTACAGATTGTGAGCATTAAATAAGATACTTTTAAAGTGCTTAAGACAGCGCCTGACCCACAGCAAGTGCTTAATAAATGTTATTATTAGTTTTAATAATCACCCATAGTACCGAGAAAAGCAGTTTTAACTAGAGTGTTTCAAGGCAAAAAGGTATCTTACCAGCTTGATAGGTTCCCAGTCTTAAACACACCAGCCTTCTGATTCCTTGCGATGATGTCTCTCACATCTACAGGACACAGTTAAGAAAGCTTCTGCAGTGACTGTCAACCAACTCCCCCCAGTCATACATGGGATCAGCTGGGTGAAAACAGCTTTGTAGTGTGTGAGGCAAGAGGAGACAGGTCTAGCACTGACTCTGCAACCCAATGCTGACTTTCCTGCCACAGGCAAGCTCTTTTAACTCCCTGAACTGTGGCTTTATCACCCGTGAGACAGACATTCAAGGAGCACATGACAAGGCCCAGCGTGACAGGTGCCGGCCAAGGGAGATGACTGTACCACAGGGACCAGGCCCCGATCGCTTTAAAGAGCTAGAAGCCCCATGGGAAGCCTCTTTCGGTCAGTGAGGACAGCAATGGAAGTTTTCTCAGACTCTCCAAGTTGAAGTATTCCCAACCTCTTAAAGAAATGCCAGGAGTGAAAGACTTGGGAGGGGGAAAGTGAAACGAGAAAGATGGAGAAGAGCTTGGAGAATCTTTGAGAGAAAACTCATCACCGGGACTTCTCTGGAAGTCCAGTGATTAAGACTTTACCTTCCAGTGCAGGGGGTGTGGGTTCAATCCCTGGTTGGAAAGCTAAGATACTACATGCCTTGTGGCCAAAACAACCCAAAAACATAAAACAGAAGCAATATTGTAATGAACTCAATAAAGACTAAAAATGGCCCACATAAAAATTTTTAAAAATATATAATTACTGAAGAAGAAAGACAATTCAGTGAAAGGCCCTTTGAAGAATTATCTTTACAGACTTACAGTTTGGCCATTGGCCATCTGCTGGCATGTAAGAACTTGTGCAAAAAGAGCCATATTTATTGAAGCCATGTTTTGAGGAGCTGGTCCATTACATCACACAGTGCCAACTTCATGAGAGCCCATAGGAGAAGTCATGTCACGTTTCAACACTGGGAAAAATTGGCCTTCAGATCAAACAGTTTTGCTTCAACTTCTAGACACTAAAAATCTTATAACTGTTCCTCTTTCTCTTTTTGCACTGGTCCCTGTGCACCTCAGAGCCAAATGGATGATCTACGCTGAACCACCACAGTGCTCCTCCCGTGGCTTTTCTGTACTGGTCCTCTTCCTGCCTTCAGGATGTTTGCTTGGCTTCTACTGGCCAGCTGCCCTTGCTTTCTCGCTTATTTTATATGGTATAGTCTATGTGTCCCTGCATTGTTTTTCAGTCCCTAAGTCATTTCTGACTCTGTGACCCCATGGACTGTAGCACGCCAGGCTCCTCTGTCTTCCACTGTCTCCTGGAGTTTGCTCAAATTCATGTCCATTGAGTCCGTGATGCCCCTGTAAGAAGCCTCAACATCCCTATTTTGGAATAAGGCGAGGTTTAAATAAACAAGAAATAAAATAATTCCAGTGAAGGCTGCAAGCTGAACTGAACTGGGCTCATGGGGAGAGCACCAAGCAGACAACTGACGCTCCCCTGTCGCTCAGAAAAACAGATTTCCTCAACGCCGGAAGCAAGCCTGGCCAAGATCTCCCTGCAAGAGCAGAGCCACGGGACATTTTAACCTAAATCTCTGCTTGAAACACCAGGCACACCCATTTCTTCTCTGAGTGAATAAGCAGGTACTGTGATAGCGGGAGTGGGTAGGAAAAATCAATTAGGTCTCCTAATGAAGGGCTTTGTTGAGGTTTACAAAAGTGCTATAAAGCAGACTTTTTTTTCCCCTGGGTGAACTTTCCTGTATGCAAATTAAATACCATTAAATTACATTCATTAAAAAAATAAAAGAGACTAATTTGCCTACTTGTTTTGATTAACTAAAATGATACATCGGCCTACGGTTTTGTCTATTTTGGGAAGAAAGTATTTCAGGAAAGTCTTCTAAATGAAATGTCTTGTAGAAAAGGACAGCTGACATCTTCATTCTGAGAACTAAATTAGTCAAGAGTCTACTGACAACTGGCTTTGATTAAGCTCCCCCACATGATGGCCACACCCTTCTTGGCGTTTCCATGACATCCAAACCACACGCTGTAATGTGCCCGCACACCTGTAGCGTCGTATGAGTACATGACCAATCTATCAAGCAAAACATATTATTTTGTTAGTGGAGGTATACTTTTTTATGAAATAGTCACAGGGAAGTTAAATTATATAACTCGGAAAACCTATTAATAATTTTTAGTAAACATCTTAACACTATATACTTTTATACAATTTATAAGCCTGTGATTCCAGGTGGTCAGGCTGAAGCAAGCACATGTATTTATATTCTAGAAGCAATTTTTAATGAAAAAATTCACAGCAGTATTTAGGCTGCTTTATTTTTAGAACTGAGAGGGAAATATATTTTGTGGGTTAGGAGGTGTTTTTTATATTAAAACAAGTACTAAGAGGAAAAAAAATGGCAATCATGTACTAAAATATTGCTTTAAGAGATATATCCTGATATTCTGCACCCCACCTTTTAGTTTAGGTCAGGTTTTCAGGTGGTTCCTCTGGTTGGTGCTGTGTCCAATCATAGATGCTATCATTCTTCTGTGTCATTTCAGGGTAATAAAGGAAATTCAATCAAATTGAGTCAATCTGTCCAGGACAGTGTTCAACAGCATGGACCAAATCCTATTCTTTGAATGCACCTACCTTCTGGAAGACTTCAGTGGGAGGTGCTGGGTGCAAAGAAAGTCTTAATGTGATTTCTGATTAAATAGATACAGAGCAATCGGCTTCAATTCCTCATTCATCTGGGCAAGTGGACTTCTCGAGATACAGGATATACACTTGTGGCTAAAACAAACCAGATTCTAGAACTAGATTTTCTCTTCAAACAAAGCATAGTTCAAGAGTGGGGCTCCATCTTAATTTTGCTTTATTTTATTTTTATCCTTAAATGTGTGTATATATATATATATATTTGTATAATAATAGTTATTTGAACAAATTATATATATATATGTTATATACTAATTAGTTAAGCTAATTATATATAAATCTTGTTTAAAATATTAGCCTCCTCCTACAATTAGTGATTATTATGTTTATCAGTAGCTGATACACATTTTGAGAATTGGCATTGTATAAGTATTTTTATAATAATAACACTGTGCTTTGTGAAGCATTATTTTCTTGGTTTCTGCTACCTTTAGTTTCATTGCATATCAAAGGTGAGGGTAGGAAGCTATGAAATTATAAGATAATTCCTGTTCATTTTGATCTCTGGAGGGTTTTTAAAATGCTTGATGTGGCAATATTTGCTAATTTAAAGGCTGTGAAATATTCTTGAAGGTGCTTATTACTCATGAATTGAGAGTACCATCTAGAGGTGCTTTGAACTCTGTTAGCAATGTCAACTGTTACGTTTATAGATGAGAAGTCTTCTCTTCCAGTGCAAGATGATACAAAATCTTTCTAGTTTTCGGTGAAACAGAACAGTTTAATGAAGGTGACAGGGAAGCTATGAAGTCAAATGATCCTGACTTCCAGTGCTCATTCTGACACTTAGTAACTATGTAAATTTGGGTAAAATAACTTCTCTGAGCTCCATCTCAGGAATAGGAATAATGTACCTATTTTATAGGCTCATTGGAGTACCACATAGTAGGTGCCTAACATATAGCAGGTGCCTAAATCATGTCAATTCATTATCTTTTTCAATAATTCAGGCAAAAGCTCTGAAGGGATGAGAGGCTGAGGAGGGTAACTATAGAGTGAGGCTTGGCAGGTAAGCTTTATTTTCTTTCTCTGTTGCTCAAAACTAATTATATGAACATTTTAACTGTAGGATTTAAATAATTGGAAGGAATCAAAGAACTTCTGCCCTGTAGATTTTCAGTGTCTTTCACGTGTATAAACATTCTCTAGCCAAAGTATAGTCTGTGTCCCCCAAGAACAGAACTTGGTCTGTTTGTTCACTGCTGTATCTTTAGCACTTGAGATGTCATGCAGTTAATAGTAGCTTAATTCATTTAATTAATTACTTAGCTTCATTTGTTAGTTACTTTCCATTTAATTTTCAAATCTATTTGTTGAGATCCTACCCAATGTGAGGCAGAGTGCACTTTGGACTATCTAGTATTTAGAAGAAGAGCTGACCCTGATACTGGAGGAAGGGGCCTGGACGCAGGATGATAGGCTGGATGACTCCTCAACCATCCACAGGCTACACAGTCCACATGAAGCTTAATTTATGAATTATTTAAGTCAGGGAGTCTGTTAAATAAAATAATATCATAATCCAGGGGTATCTCCTTTAAAATGCACAGGTGATTTATTCATTTTTGGAGAATCCTAAGCTCAAGATCATGATCTAGACTGTGCATACTGTGGGGATAAGATGCTTGGGTTAGGAGCATGAGGCAGAAGTATCAAGCATTGCCATAGTTTTCAGATAACCTGCTTGATGTTCACTAAGGATGTGTCAAGGCAGGGTCCTTTTGTTGGGCAGATTAGTGAGTGTACCAGAGAGGGTTGCTCATCTGAGGTGTTGTACTTCTCTTCATTATAATTCGGAAAGGTCTTAGCATCAATAATAACTCAGTATACCACTTCTCTCCCCTATTCTTATGTCACTGTCAAACCAACTACAGACTTTATTGAGTAATTATCTTGGGGCACTTGGAGGTTTCTTTCTTTATTACACTAAGAGGGCTGTGCCAAAGGAAAGAGAACACAGTTCATATGATTTCAGGATAAATTTGAAAACTGGATGAACCAAATGATCTTATTTCCAATTTAGTCTTTGTTTTCCCCTTTGGGCACAGATAAGATGACATCTGAAGGGAGAGGCAGCTCTCAGTTAGGGAGGCTATGGGCTAGACCCAGTAATGCAGTTTAAGGATCAAGGAGAACCTCTGGGACATCTAACGATGAGTCTGAGAAAATATTTAGGGCTTATGACATTCCCTTATCCCTCAAGTCTTAATCTCTTTTCAGATATCTCCACTTATAAATTTCAAATCCACATCTAGCTCTCCAGGTTCAAGGTAGAGAGCTCTAGAAGACATAGCCAAATCCATTTGATATATTTTAGGGAGACAGTAAATAAGCTTACAACTGGTTGATATGCTTCTATGATATAAAGATTCAGAATGTCTCCATTCATTGCCTCAAGTATTAAAAAAAATAGAAATAACAGATGATAAATAGGAAATATCAGAAAATGCTATTTTTTTAAGGTTAAAAATCAGAATTTTAGAAGCTTAAGAGACTAGGAAGTAAGGCTCAGTTGGATTCATTCAATTCAGATCCAAGAAAAACAAAAATAATTTTTAAAATAATGAGAATAATATACAGGCCAATACTCAGATGTGATGTGGGATTGCCAGGTCGATTTTCAATTACATTTCACTGATGTATTCATTTGTTTCTTAATGTGCTCATCTTGCCCATTAAGAATAATTAGCAGCTTTGCTTAGAGATTTTCTGGCTTCTGGCAATGTTTCTCCCTCTCTTTTTTTGTTGACATCCACTTTTACTTTTTAGAAAGTAATTTTTGGATAATATCCTACAACTGCTATATAATTTAGGCTTCCTAAAATTTTAAAGGAAAGATGTAAACAGTAATTTTTAAATGAGTTTGTTTCAATCTATATGCATCAACAGTATGTGATTCAGTGAATTCGTTTTTCTCATAGAAAGTGGGCACATAAATAAAAAAAAAAAACTTCATTCATATTAACCTCACTCAGTAAAACAGCTTACCATGAACACCAGTTGTAAGCTCTGTTAGTAAATCAAGAATAACATTAGTATTAAAAGCAGGAAAAACATGTTGCCAAATTTTAAGGCTTTAGGCATGCTTTTTTCTCTTAATTTAAAAAAAAATTAGATCTAGTTACAACAGAAAAAGGCACACAAACATAGAACAACATGATAAAAACTGAACTCTGCCAGGAAAGTCCTAAGAGATGAAATAAAACACGCTACCAGTTTTGGTCTGCATCCTGAAAGGACCTACTTTATCTACATTGTAAAGTTCTTCCCCTCCTGCCCTTTGGCACCCTGCTATATTAAACCCATTGTAAAACGCAGCACAATAAAGCACTCTCAGGGCTGAGCTTCAGAGGACCAAATGTTAAAAATCCATTTTCTTGGGAGGGGGCTGTACCAATCATTTCTTTGAAAGGCCGGCAGAGTGAATACAGAATTGAGATTTCCTCTCTGATTTCAAGAGCTGGCATGGCATCTTTGCTGTTTAAAGCAAAGGTGCATTAATTAATGACAAAAGCATGGCTTCCCTTCTTTGGAAGCTCTGTAGTTTAGCTCAACAGTAATTTTAGTACAATTAAATTTACATACTGACCACAGATGCTTCCCATAGTTTGATAAAAGTTCTAATCGGTTTCTAATGCTATTGAATAAGACACCTGCTGACTTGAGAAAAACCTCAGGTTGCTGGGCCCAATCTGGAAGTTTCTGTGGTTAAAATGACCTCCTCTTCCCCAATAATCCTGCTTTTTCTCCCCCCAAAAAACATCCATTGGGGCTGAGCCAGCATACCTGACTTCCTGTTGCTTTCTGTGTTCCCTGACTTGTGGAGGAGGAGCAGAGTGAAATGATACAGTGCAGGGAAGAACTCAGAATAAAGCAGAGTGAATGAAGCAACATCGCTCATCTTCAGGAATATTTTGGGAAACTTGCGACAGTCTGAAGATCATGATTAAAATCCTGCATTTTAAAAAAGGAAGCACCTTTTGTGATCTCTTTCCCTTGTGTGAAAGGCCAAGATTGTGATTGGCTGTTTTTCCTTCCTGTTTTTTTTTTTTTTTTTTTTTTTTAAGTCTGCCAGGCAATTAGCTGGGTGGGGCTCTGTAGAGCACACAAGTGCCGCTGAACAATATTAGCTTCTGTGCTTCTGGTACCTCCTTCCTCCTGCGTGAGGAGGCTGATAGAGCGGCTGCAAATTTTATTTTCAAAAAATCATATAGCAGAGGTAGAAAAAGAAAATTCAAAAATAGGATCTAGGTAAGATGCTTCCTTCCCTCTTACAAAAATCAACACTGCTTTGGCATTTTAGGGGCCTAAAATTCAAATAAGTAGATTGCCTCTTTCGTAATGTAAATAGAAAGCACACCAAAAAATCCAGAGCAAATATATCCTCCACCTTTCCTCTCAATTTCTAAAGGCTGTTAACTGCCCCTGAACAAATCAGCTCGATTGCTAAAGTAGCCACAAATTATGCTTGCTTTTTTAGTTAAAGTACAGTTCAATTTTCATGAACTCTGTGTACATATTAGTAAAGCATAATCTAATATAATGGGGTTTGAATTGTAATAGCATAGCAGAAAAAAAAAGAGAGATAGCTTTTATGATCCTAAATAAAAGGAAATAATGAAAAACTGAAAGCTGTTTCCAGTGGGGAGATACAGGGGACTCCTCAGGAATTAGAGTAGGTACACAATTTCATGGTCCACACGGAAGAAAGGTAATAATGGAACATGAAGCTGGAAGTTAATTTTTGTAAGCAGCAGCCTATATAATAAATGTTAAGTCATTTATTTTATCCTGGTAAATTTCAATAAAAATAAAAGGACAAGAGTGCTTGAAAATTATTATGAAACAAATGTTCTTATTGCTTTGAGTGGTCCACAAATCATAAGCTCCTTTAATAAGTATAAAAACCCACTGAAATCAAAAAAGCAAAACAAAACATAGTCGTATGCAATGAATGTCATATATTTCTACTTTTTCTTAATTACTTATCATTTGTATTGGGGGGAACTCTCTTTTAATACCCCATGCTGTCTTTCTTTATATCAATTGTTACTCAGCCGAGGAAAAGGAATGAGCACAACAAGCCCGTTTTCTATCTGAATAAGGATACTTCTGATGGCCTTTTCATTCCCATCAGTTAACAGAACTTCTTTGACATCTGCAGAAATAGCAACCTGAAAAAAAAAAGGGGGGGCACAGCAAACAATGAGCAAATATGCTTGTCTGTGTGGAAGTGAAGACAGGAGTGACAAGCCTTCAGTATCATGCTTCCTCACCTATTTCTCTGTAACAATCTTCAATCTTTTTTCATTTTATGTCTGCATTATTTTAATCATTCAATCAAATCAGTCAATACTTTTATCATTCCATTTGCGGGAGCCTCTATCTTGCTATCATTCTGTTCGGTAATTGCATTGTGACAGCGGATGATGGTATTCTGAGAGGCTTTCATTTGTGGGCTTCTGTTTATCTAGTAGAGCCATCATACAAGGCTGTCACTCTGCCTTTCAGCTTGCTTCTGTCTGACTGCCTGATGCCCTTCATATAACTTTGCATTGCAGGCAGATGGCTTTGTGAGGGTAATTTTTTTGTGAGCTTTGACATGCTCGCACATTGGGCTGTAACCCTGACACATTGTGTAAGAGCGACAGGTTTGTCAAATGCCAATCAGTGTAACAATATGCTTTTATTTGTAGAGACATAAAAACTTGTCTAATGCACTGTGCTGCTACATAATATCTCCTGAATACATGACTCAGAACCCAGAGAATGGGGAACGACGTTCCTGAATGGCCAATCTAATTCAAAAGAATCTAATTACTGAGCGCTCTGGATCATGTTTGTTGGTGTAATAATGCAGGCAAAACATTAGCAGCTATATCATGGTGCTCCAACTGTGATTTGCCGGGCTATTCCTGTATCTTAGCAAATGGGACTATAATCTGAAAAAAAAAAATGCTTTTGCTATGGCGAAGAAAGACTGTGCGAGGCCTGGAATGTCACAACAAGCGATATTGACTACACTGAGGTAAAATGTTTCTGCTCATCGAGGCAACCATAAAATCAATATGATCCGAAAGTAAGTCAATCTAGAAGGTCTCTCAAGACCCGGCAGCTTGACCGCAGCTGATGCTGTTGACGGTTCTCTGACCCAGCAGTTGGAGGCCCTGGAACATTTTTCCTTTTGTTCCTCTCTCTGAATGGGATTGGAATTGAGAAAAGACCTACCATGAGCCCAGCCAAGCATGTCATGCCACCCCCTAGCTCACACACAGCAAGGTCCCTGAAAGAGAGAAAAGAAATGGTAGAACCCATACAAATGAGATGAAAATGGGCAGAGAGATATATATGTTACAAGAACAAATTGCCATCTGCAGTAAGAACGGCGCTACCAGGAAGTTGTAGAGACATGACGAGGCTACCTCATGTCGTTTTGCGTTTTAAAAATAATTATGAAATAGAAAAGTCACAAAGCAGGCAAACCAGTGGGGGTTCCCTCATTAGTGTTCACTGCAACATTACCACCGCTGAGCTGAAAAATCTGAGAAGGTTCCCTTTTTTTCCCCTGTCAATGGCGCTGTCTTTTAGAACTAAACTAGCTAGAGTAGCGAAAGATAATTGTTAGGAAAGGATAACACTGTTAATCCACATTCATTCCTTCAAAAACAGTTAGACAAGTAAATGAAGAATATATGTGAGTGTGTATATACGTATATTATAGTGAAAGACACACAACACACACACACAAATACATGCAATCTTGAAATTAAAAAAAAAAATCTAAAACAAACAGCAGTATTTTGGAAAGCTGAACAGCTCCCATAAAGAACAATTACACAAGGAACATTTAGCAATTAACACTTAAATAACAATAGACCCCAACACAACACAGTGAATAAACAATGCGGGGACATAATATGGTTAAGCCAGCAAACCCAGGCTCAAGGAATGATTGGGCTCCGACTTGACCGCTCCAAAGAAAAGCGGCTCAGAGTTAAAGCTGACAGTCTCGGGTGGCACTCTGCACTTACCTTCTTCTTTGTGCCTAAATATCAGCCCTCAAAGTGTGACATTCCTGCTCTGGCCCACTGCTTGCTGATTGGAGCTCCAGGCAAACTTAAGCACAGTGAGATGAGCTTCTAGGGCAGCTCTGAAGCTCAATTCAGTACTGCCCTGATCTTACTTTATATGCTTATACTCTTAAGAGTTTGTCTCTTCTTCCCAATTTGGGAAGTTTATTTCCTCAGCAAGAGGGGAAAAAAAGACAGAGAGAATCAAGGGAGGGAGAGGTGAGAAGAGAGGGAAAAGAAGAAGCCAAGCCAGGACATTCGTATTCTGAAATACACATAATGAGTATTTAGTTATTCAAAGCAATTAGAAACTGGTTGGTAAATATGGACCCACAGAGCTTCAAAAACTACATATTATTGACCCAGGCTTATAAATACATATTGTTACAACAATATGTTCTTGTAAGTATATATTGTAAAAATGATCACTAATGGCTTGTCTGGAATCATAATGGGCTATTAAGGAAGCATATATTGGATGACTTTTATAAAATGAGAATGGAAATGAAAAAACCCATATTTTCTGGGTCTACCAAACATCTTCAGCCATTTTTTTTTAAAGGAATTTTTTTCTTTTTTTGTAATCCCATCCATGGTTTAATCTATAATGCACATTCACAGTTGAAAACATTCACAGTTGAAAACATTCTTTTCCATTGCATGAATCTGTAATAGTAATTTATATTTTACAAGTACACATTGTTACTTTAAAATAAGGGATGGGATGGCATCTTTAAATAATATCTGTGGGGTATTTATTTATCAAATATTCCATAGTGACTTTCCTAGCAGAACTTTAAAGAATGTTTTTTTTTTTTTTTGACCTTTACAATCAGTAAGGATTGATTGGAGCTTCACTTTCGTTTCCCCAAAATCAAAGTGAAATAAAATGCCTTGAGTGGAAATCAAAAGCCTTTGACACATAGCAAAAAGCTTGCTGTGCAATATTAGTACCCAAAGGCAATTCAGATTTCTTTTTCAGAAGCAACATGTTTTCACCATGACCGTCCCCCTCCTTTCCTTCCTTCATTTCTTTCTTCCTTTCTTATATATACATTTAACAACTTAATTTGAAGAATGTAATCATGGCGATCGTTAACATGTAGATACAGTACCTATAGTGGGCTAAACAAATTTTTAAGTGCAGCTTTGTACCTGAATATACTACTGTGCTTGAGGCAGTAGTAAGCCAAAACCTCTTCAGCTGGCCAGATGCCTAGAAAACACAAGAGGATATAGACTTTTTGATCACAGAAGTTTCTTCTGTAAACACTCTCTGTAGTCATGCTCTTAAGATAGGCCTTTTAAAAAATAATGTTCAGTATAAGCGATTTCAACTTGAATCAAACTTACCGTAATTATTACTAGTAACATCATATCACATGCATTTCTTTTGTTCTGGATTATAACTTTTCCCCCAGGAAAATATCCTAAATAATTTTTACTAGATTTCAATCACAACAAAACAGCAAAAACAATAACAGCCAAAATTATAAACATCCAAAGTTAAATTTTGAATGGTATTTCAGGTAGATCTTATTCTTACACACATGAATCTTCATTTTGACCAAGTCTTTAGGATCATGAAGACCTACTGTATTTGTATCTCATACTCAGCAAAAATCACTTCCAGGAGCAAATAAAATCACTGAGGTTATTATACCTTTCTTGTCTGACTCCATACTAATGTTTTTCATATACATAATTATTTCCTTCCTTCAACTAAAACCCAACTGGAGTATTAAATTGAGAAATGTAAGTTTCACCAACTTTGTACATCTTTCAATTTAACAATAATCCTACCCATTAAATTCTGTGGAAGAGCATTTCCTAAAATCATCATCTGTAAATCATTTATTTAGAAGACAATAGTTTTTCATGGATGAATATGAATTGCTTAAAGAGAAGATGGATGTGCTCTTAATTTTTTTCTTAATACTTTTGATATTTCAGAGATGATGTCAAAGAAATGGTAAGTAAAATGCTAAGAGAATCAATGGGTATGCATATATTAATAAACAGCAAAGAAACAACTCTGTAGAACATTTGTTGCAGAAAAGTCCCGTCACCTCTTCTTACTAGCTCAGTCTCCCTGGCGTTTCTGGTAGAAATGACAATTTGGGGGAGAAACAAAATAAACCAGCATGAAGTGTCTGGAGTTATATTTAGTAGAAGTCAGAGAGGCAGAGTGTAGCAGTTACAATTACAGGTACTTAGGAACCAAACTCAGCTGGGCTCCAGCCCCAGCATTGCCTTTCCTAGTTGAGTGACCTTAGATAGGTTACTTAACCTCTCTGTTCCTCAGTTTCTTTATCTGTAAAATAATATTATTGTAATATCAACCTCACAGGATTGCTGTGAGGATTAAACGAGTAAAGTATATGAAATGTATTTAAAACAATTTCTAACTCATAGCAAGCTCAAAGAAAAAGAAAATTGTTGTTAATGTTATTCTCCTGCAAAGAGGGATAAAAGAGTGGAAGAGAGTGTGAACCTCAAACAACTACCCTAATAATCAGAACACATGGAGAACTTTTTTGACCTGATTCTAATCATTAGCTTTGGCACTACCCCAAAGCCCTAATACCTGGCATACCTCCACACAAAAAGAACTCTATAAAGATTAAAACACATAATAAAATTCTCTGAAGGAAGAGCCCAAGACAGTTTTCCACATCAAGTGAATATAATCACCACAATGATGAATTTCTTTATGCCTTTATAGGTGGTTTTGAGGATTTAAAAAATAATGATGGGGAAGAATATTTAACTAAAATTTGAGCCTTGATTAAGAACAAAAATGTGATTTCTAAAATGCATAGTCTTTTAAAACAGTTTTATAATTTTCTCTTAAAAATTATAGAGGTTGATTTTTAACTAAATTAGATATGAGAAGTTCAAAGAATAAAGTTTAAAAATCACCTAAAATTCCACCACTAGTATATAATCACTGTTAACATTTTGGACACCATTCCAAAAAAATCCCTCTAGGCATAAAGACATTTTACACAGGTGGGATCTTCTCAGGGAGGTATTCAATAATCTCATTTTGCCCCACTAGTATGTGATGGATAGATTGCCATGATTATAAAAATATACTATACCTGCATCATTTTTAATGGCTGCCTAAATATTTTATGTTTGCATCATAGTTTATTTAACCATAGTTTATTCCTTTTGATAGACAGTTCAGTTAATTTCTAAGTTTTTTATATTATGATATTATAAACAGTGGTATAATAAAGACATTTTTTTCCCCAACATATAATTTTTTTCTTCTTAGGTCAAATACCCAGAAATGGAAAATCTGTTGAAAAGTCAAGTACATCTCACATTCTGATATATCAAACTGCCCCTCCGAAAACTGTACCAAGCTACAACTCTAATAAGAGTGTTTATTTCCTCAAAACCTTGACTGGAGAGGGATTTTAATTTTTGCTTATTTGTTAAACTTTTAGGTCATCTCAGTACAAATCAAAACCACAATGAAATAGCACTTCACCCCGTTCTAGGATGGCTATATTGAAAAAGTCAGACAATAACAAATGTTGGTGAGGTTGTGGGGAAATTATGTAAAATGGTTCAGCCGTCTTGGAAAACCGTCTGCTACTGCTGCTGCTGCTAAGTCACTTCAGTCGTGTCTGACTCTGTGTGACCCCATAGACAGCAGCCTACCAGGCTCCCCTGTCCCTGGGATTCTCCAGGCAAGAACACTGGAGTGGGTTGCCATTTCCTTCTCTGGAAAACAGTCTAGCAGTTTATCAAAAAGTTAAATGTAGAGTTACTACATAACCCAGCAATTCCACTCCTAGGTATGTATCCAAGAGAAAAAAAAAAATGTCCACACAAGAACTTGTATACAAAAGTTCACAGCAGCGTTATTCATAACAGCTAAAAAGTGGACACGACCTAAATGTCTATCAACTAGTGAATGGCTAAATAAACTGTGGTATATCCATGTAATAGACAATTATTTGGCAATATAAGGAAATCAAGTGCTGATTCATGTTACAACATGCATAGAACATGAACATTATTATGCTAAGAGGAAGAAGCCAGACACAAAGGACTACATATTTTATTTTTCCATTTATGTTAAATGTCCAGAATAAATGAGGGGTGATTGCTTATGAGTACGAGATTTCTTTTACATGTGATGAAGGGGAAGGTTGGCGATGTGATCCATTTGAGGTATGTAACCAGCTTTTTGTCATCTGTGAAGTAGCTAGTTTAGAATTATTTTATTAATTTTTAAAGATTTATTTTTTTAGTTTTAATCTGGGGCTAGAGTGGGTCTTCGGTGCTACACATGGGTTTTCCCTGGTTGCAGTGAGCAGGGGCTGCTCTTCGCCGCAGTGTGTGGGCTTCTCACTGTGATGACGTCTCTTGCTGTGGAGCCCACACTCCAGGCAAGCGAGGGCTTCAGTAGCTGCAGCGCTTGGGCTCAGCAGTTGTGACTCGTAGGCTCCAGACTGCGGGCTCAGTAGTTGTGGCACAAGGGCTTAGCTGCGACGTGGCATGTGGGGTCTTCCCAGAGCAGGGATCGTAACCATGTCCCCTGCATTGGGAGGCAGATTCTTAACCACTGGACCACCAGGGAAGTCCTAGAATTCATTTAAATGTCAAGTTTTGTGGTTAATTTAGAAAAAAAAAAAAAAAACACATCTGTTATTAACCTAAAGCCTGAACAAATTCTAAAATTAATTGTCTGTAGATATTAAGAGACATGAGCCTTTAGCCAAACATGGGTCTCTCTAGATCACTTCCATTCTGGAGTTTTTGCTTTCCCACAGTTTGTGTTCGAAACAAGTCCTGGGACTCTGACACAGTTTGTGTTAGAAACAAGTCCTGGGACTCTGACACACAGTAGCCAATGGGCAACACTGCTGACTCCTCTTTTGACTCTGACAGCCTCTACTTGCCCCAAGATGACAACAGACCTAGCTCTTGGAGCAGAGACATGGCTTTTCTGTGATCTGCTGATGTCTGGAAAGTAAGCAGCAGCTCTCTTTACCTTCCCCCAACTAAGTGATCATGTCTGTCATGCAGAAGTCAGAAGCAAGGCCTCTCTCAAACCTGAGACTCAAATGAAGAGGCCAGCACATCCTTAGCTAGACCACTGACTCTTCTGGAAGAAGAAACCCACCAATAGATATTACTAAAATGAAAAGCTGCTCATGCTGGAACAGGTAGGTAGATAAACCTCTTGGACTGTTTTCAGTGCTTATGCTCTGTCTCCTTTTACTTAAGCATTTCTGCTTTGTCTTGAACTCAAGAGTGGAAATCTGTAAGAAGATACAGAATGCTCTATAAATATTTATTGGGCATCTACTATATTTCAGGCCCTGTGGATCAGCAGGGCGTCATACAGCCAGGTCACTGGAGATTCGGTTTGGTTAGGGAAGAAAACTAGTAGACAAACAACAACACAAGTAATGTGCCTAATTATAAACGTGATAAATACTGTGTAGGAAAAATAGAGAGTGCTTCTGAGAACCAATCATAGGGGACTTAAGCTGGTTGGAGGGGAGGCTGGGAGGAGTCCACCAGGGGACACTTCTTTGTAGAAATAGTAGGCAGGCTGAGACCCAGAGGATGAACAGGCAAGAAAAGGAGGAAGAGGGGCCCAGAGCTGGAGGGAATGGTCCACAGAAGGGAGCATCATGAAATAAAGCTTTGAAGAGAAGACTTTGATGCTCCAGGAATGGAAACAGGGTCCAGGAAGCTGGAGGATAAGTGAGAAAAGAAGAGACAGGACAAGATGAGACTGAAGGGGGTGCTCAGGGGCCAGATTTCACAGGCTCAAAGGCCATGTTAAGAATTTTAATTGTGGGCTTCCCTGGTGGCTGGCTCAGTGGTGGGAAATCTGCCTGCCAGTGCAGGAGACATGGGTTCGATCCCTGGTCCAGGAAGATGCCACATGTCATGGAACAGCTGAGCCTGTGTGCCACAACTACTGAGCCTGTGCTCTAGAGTCCAGGAGTTACAACTACTGAAGCCTACGAGCCCTAGAGCCCACAATAAGAGAAGCTGCTGCAATGAGAAACCTGTGTATCGCAACTAGAGAGGAGCCCCCGCTTGCCGTAACTAGAGAAAAGTCTGTGTAGCAACAAAGATCCAGCACAGTCAAGAGAGTGAATAAATAAATAAATCTGTTTAAAAACTCCTTTAAAAAAGAATTTAAAGTTGCACCTTAAAGTAAATGATACATTTTAA